GTACTGATTTTAAAGCACACATTTCTTTTTGAAATTTTAAGTTTTCTTTTTTGTTTTTAGCTGCAATTTTCTCAAAAGATGGAAAACTAGCGGACGAAGAACTTTTGGATAGATCAGAAGTCAATGATTTGCAGCAGAAAGTGGACACTCTTTCAACCGTTATTCTATCTAAAGACAACCAAGAAGACTCAAGTTCTTCCCAAGAGACTGAGTCAAGTGAAGAAATTAAAACCTTTTCAAACGGTACAAAAAGTTCAAGCTCTAGCAGTTCTAGCAGTTCAAGTTCAAGTTCAGAGAGTAACGAGAAAACAAAGGAAAAGAAAGTAGTAAAACGATCTCTAGATTCTACATCCGACTCTGTAAACTCTTTAGGACAAAATAATCAGACATTAAAAAATAACGAACAAGAAAAAAACACGACCTTACTTTCAGAGCCAGTTTCACCTGTAGAAGTAGAAAATCACAATGAAGATGATCCAGAACCGACTGTTGTTGCTGAAACAACCACACAGAACGATCCTGAACCTACCACAGAGCCTGAACAGAATGGCACAACGGAAACTGACCAAGCTGAAACTACAACAGAAACAGAGGCTAGCGAAACGACTGAGACAGCTGAAACCGAAACTCAACCAACCACTGAAACTGAATCTGAAACAACAGAGGTAAATCCTAGTACCACTCCTGAATCTTCTTCGACGACTGAAAGTGAAACATCAGAGAAAACACCTGAATCATCTTCAGAAGATGAAGATGAGGAACTTCCATATTACAGCCCAAGCAGCACTGCGACGCCTGAAGCTGCTACGCCAGAAAACAAAGAAAAATCAATGATAGAGTTTACAATGGACAAAGTGAACAAACTAAGCGACCAGATAAGGTTGGTTCTGATCACTTACAAAAAGGTCGGAGAAGTAGTAATTCCAGGGCAGAGCTTTTTTCCAGAGCCGATGACGATGCAAGACTTCAGGCAATCACTCTCGGTCGGCACGATGGATTTCAAAGACATGAAAGTTTACGGCCTTTCCAAATTTACGGTGGAACATATAAACACAGATGTGGACAGAATGCAGGTAAATCTTTTAACTAGTCAATCGTTATGTAAGCTATGTTGTTGCATAACTATATTTATGAAAAAGTTGTGGTTTGAGAACACTGTTGTTGCCCGAGAAACTTCTAGGGGAAAAATAACCATCGGGAAGTTTTGTTCAGTTACAACAAAGTTTGGTTGTAAACAGAGTTAAATCTTACGATACTTTATAATAACTTTATTCTCAGTTAAATTCTTGTAATTGATTAGGGTAAATGGCATAATCTTTCAATCAATAACCATGGCATATTTGAATCCTTAATTAGGCTGGGAAGTACGTGTTCAAGGTACAAGCAAGCCTCACGTTGGATTTCATACAATGTACCGTAAACACCTTCCCGGATTTTCTGCGTACAATATTTTTTGCCACAGTATTAACAAATAAATAAATGAACACGCAATATCTATACAAATAAATACAGAGTAAGTAAAACACAATCCATACGTACAATGGCAACACATTTTAAAATACACAATTCAAACTAAATTTTCAACCAAACTTTCAGGTCTATAAAGAGACCAGAATACTGCTACCACTATACTGCTAACTGTATAGTGTTGCAAAAATACCAAAACGTTAGCAATATTTCGATACAAAACGGGTGCCGGAATATTTTGAAATACTTAGATTTTTCTAGTTTCCCCCATGGTAAGTGAACAGTATACTAAAACCAATTCAGCAAAAAAGAACTAGTATTACCTAAATACTCCTTTTCAAGTAGATCTTACTTCACAAGAAGTGACTTTCAATTCATCAACTAAATTTGAACTTGTTTCTTAGGTATACATCCTCCTTCACATGAAGAGATTGGTGATTCTCGGCAATTACACTCTACGATCATTCTTCACCAGAGCGGCAGGACCGTTCAATGTCACTCTTCTCGATGTGGATTCGGAAGGCGTTGCTGAGATCCAAACAGCTGCTGAAGGATATCTAGAAGCCGCTGACTCTCAAATGGACATGATTACAAAGGACAATGAGAATAGACTTCAAAAACCTCGGCTTCTTGGTTCGTAGCATTTGCCATTGAAATTTAAAACTAGTACTGTCCACTGAAACTACTAGTATTGTTTTTTTTTTATTAAACTTGATTTAAGTTCTAAGATTTTTACTGTCAAGGTTAAAAACCCCTCCTTATATAGATTAACACAATTATTCTTTAAACTAAATTTATTGACTGTAACATCATGAAACTAAATTCACCACAACTCAAAACAAACTGAATCAAAACATAAACAAACAACAATAAAAATAAAATAAATAAATAACATATATTAATAAACATATGACTATTGCCAACATCTTCCATTTTTTCAAATTGTTTCTAATGTAAACTAAAAAGGTAAATTTAGTATTATGAAGAACTATAAATATTTTGTTTTGTTTACAAATACGCAGGTTACATTTTTTAATGATTTTTATGTTTCTTTTTGTTTAAGGAGTGTTCATACCTCGGTTCCTTCTTTAACATTGTTGTTTGTTGTAAAAAAATATATAATACTAGTACACCTCTGTTGCTCAATTTCGAGCAATTAATTGCAAACTACTACAGGTGTTATTTCAAAACGAATAACAGTCATAATTGACTTAAAAGAGTAAACTCAAAGATAATGTAATCAATCACTCCACTCCAGTTATCAAAATTGAAAACGAACGCTCTTGTGTGTATCATGTGTTTAGGCCCTACTATGAACAGCTATAATTAATACAAATTATTCGTCTGTTTAAGTAAACAATATCTTTTCTTCATAAGAAATACATTGGGATTTTGATGGCCTGTGGGGCAAAGCCCGAGGAATTTTATTACAGGAATTGGTGAAAGGGGGTTTCTATACAAAAAATACTTAATTTTGACACATCGTTTGTAAAAATCCGTCCATTATTAACGGAGGGGTAGTGTTTTGTAGAAATCGCCTTCACGTATCTGTATTATATATAAGGATAATCCGATAATCACTAACCAGTAATTATCAGCCTAAGAAATAGATAGCTTTATCCAGAACCAAACCATCTCCGAATTAAATCAGAAATTATTGAATTTAGAGGGAAATGCTCAAACCACTCGACTATGTCTCTTTATGCCTGCAATGAACTATATTCAGTGGCTTGTTTAACAACTACTTCTTGATTAAAAATGAATACCAACGCTTGGTAAGGTAAGGTGAATGAGACTCCCAAAACATAAATGAAGTTTTACTAAAGTGATTTGATTTACAGGTTCCATGTTCCAAGGAGCAGTCAGTGCGGTGGGGGACGCTCTGTTCAACAGCATCAAACCACAAATCCTCGAGAGAGTCAACTCAGTCATCAGAACCGACGTCAACAAGAAACTCAAAGAGTTCTCGACAAAGTTCATCAACAAAGTGAACCCCGTGGATTTAGCTTTCTCCGAGGGGCGAAGGTATTGCAAGAACGCCGGTTACGACCCGTATCACATCAACGATCACACCTTCTTACTTGGAGGTCTGGTGTACGTCAACATCACCGACTTCTGGGTGGAGGGGTTGTCCCGTTTCCACCGGGTCGGCAATCTGTCGCTATCCATGGATGCGGGAGTGATTGAAATCGGCATTCACGTAATGACAGGAAAACTCTCCGGGCAGTGTCAATGGAGCGGACAAACATTCGGAATAGTGAAAAGCGGCAAAACCAACTTCACCGTGGACCACCTACAAGTCAGGGCAATTGTGCACCAATCTCTGGACGTAAGGAAGAAACCACAACTGTTCGACTTGGACCTTGAACTGGGATGGGTAAAGGTCAAGATGAACGAACCGATGACACTCACCATGATGATCGAGGGAATAATAAACGCGTTCCCAAGACTGATACGGCACATAATAGTCGACACTCTGGAACAACCTTTGAAGGAGAAAATACAGGAAATTCTAGATAAAATCAACGTAGAATCAATCGTCGATGAAAACCTGCCTCGACTGGATACCTTCGGCTTGTGAGCTCAGAGATGTGATTAGTCAATTGATGTGATTGGTTCATTAATCTGTGTGTCAGTCAGGAAACTAACAATTATTGTCACTCGTTGAAATTGATTGTTGGGCAGAGAAACTAGAACAAGTTTGGTCTACATTGAACTAGTTTTTTTTTCTTGGACTTTATCCTGTAGTGGAACAGTTGGGTAATGTTTAAGTAAAAGATTACTAATCTAATGGTTTAGTCCAAGACTTAAAATGGTTATCTACATCTATCTTAATTAGGTTAATGTTAAATCAATTATTTAACCCACAATAATTTGTTATTAAATGTACACTAAAACCAAACCAAGTAACAGCAAGCTCAAACAAGTCAAAACAGTTAGAAAATATTGTTTTACATTTAAAATATAATGTAAAAGTATTCATTGCTTGTAAACTCTGTAATGTAGTCTCAAGTTTATTTTATTTAATTGACATATTTTTTACGTTAAAGGGAAAACCTGCAGTATTATAACAATGTTAGTAGTGGTTTTAAACAGAAGGGTTGAAAAACATAAATTATAAAAAGTGTATGGATAAACATTTGTGCTGTACAATTATGTTAAAGGTAAACCCCATTTTCATGTAACATGTCAAAATAAAGTATGATAAAATAGGTTGTTAACTAATGATTCTTATTCGTTAATCAAAAATATTGACTCTACAATAACCAATTTAAATTGTAATCTAAAACTCCTCAAAAAAGCTTGTGGTTAAAAAAAAAGTATCATTTAGAAAGGAAAAATTATATCTTTCTCAGGGTAGCTAGCTGAATGATCTCTTTTCAAAACAATTCCCAAGTCAGCCACATGGTTTTAATCAAACCAAAAACAAAATCATACAAAAAAATCATTTGGTTTTAATCATTCAAAATCATAGACAACGTTTTGGAACTAGTTAAGCACTATTTTGTTACAAATTTATTTTAAAAGTTGTTATTTACAATACCAGTTATCTCCTGCTACAATCTATACAGTAAGGTATGCCACGCTTCTCTACAAACTCCTTGGTTGAAATCGGGTTGCTGCACCTGCGACAGACAAAACAGCTGGGATGCCAGTGTCGGTCCAATGCTGTGTAGATTGTTTTGTCAATCAGCTGATTGCAGGCGGAGCACTTCTTACCGTAGAGTCTCTTGTAGTCGTCTGCACAGTGCGGCTTGCCTGCCACCACGTAGAACCCACTCTCCCTGATGGACGCTCCGCACTTGACACAGGTGAAGTGATCAACGTGCCAAGTTCGGCCCATTGCTGCCAACACGGTGTCCGTGATGGGTTTCTTGCAGAGAGAGCAGATCTCAAGTACGTCAGAAGCTTGGTAGATATCTGAACGTTGTTCGGTAGCCATTGCCTCTTCTGCTTTTACACAATACTTGAAATTTTTGTATTTCCTTATTTGATGGTTTCATAATTTTACACTTGTTACTATGGATTTTGCTTGTACAAGTTATGGGAATTTAACCGGTTAAAAGACTGCAACCACTGGACTAGCATAAAACCAGTCTTGACGTTATAGCTAAATGCTAGTGATGAATTCAAAACAGTGTTAGGTTGTAATAGTTTAGATTCAGTTGAACACATTCCTCACAGGTCATGAAGCTCAAGGTCCCCTGTCAATTACTATTTAAGTTTTAGTTAGAGAAACCATGTATTTACAAAGATTTATCTTACATTCGCTAAGAAATACATTTCATCAGGAAAACCCATTCACCTGAATTTTACCCTAAGCTTATTGGATAACTTGATAACTGTACAGTTTTTAAACACAATAATTTGTAGTGATTGTTAATTTTAAATGAGTGGTGACAGCTTTCTTTAAATATTCAAAGAGTAAAAAGCTCTAATTAAGTTCCAACTTGTACTAATTTTTTTTCTAATTTCTACTTGTGTCTACATTTTCAGAAGAAAAAAAAATATATAATTAGGTTCTCAATTAGATATAATAACCAATTTTACCCTTTCAAAAATTTTACAATAAATGAGCCTACACTCCACAACCCATACAGAAAGGCATCCCATTCTTCTCTGTGAACCCTTGCTGTGCGTTGATGGGTTTCTTGCATTTATTGCAGGAGAAGCACTGTTTGTGCCAATGCTTGTCCAAGGCAGTCAGGACTGTATCCTTTATCAGCTCTCCACATCCTGAGCACTTCTTCCTGAACAGTGCTGTGTAGTCCTTCTCACAATAAGCTTGGCCGTCCTTGGTGCTAAACTCTGCCTCGGTGATGGGCTTCTTGCAGTGAGCACAAACAAAGTGGTCTTTGTGCCAATGTTTACCGAGCGCTGTCAAAACCGTGTCCGTGATGGGTTTGTTGCAGTGAGCACACAAAGGGTTGGAGCCGGAAGCACAGTTTCCAGAAGGGAAGAGTTTTTTATGATCGTCTTCGCAATACGGCTTCTCGTCCTGGACGAAGAATGACGAACCGTTGAACGGTTTTTTGCAGTGAGTGCACACAAAATGTTCTTTATGCCAAGTTTTACCCATGGCCTGCGTTACGGTGTCCGCAATCGGTTTGTTGCACTGAGCGCAAATCGCTCCACTCGAGCCTCCTTTTTGAAACAAAGCTTTGTGGTCTGCCTCACAATAAGGTAGTCCGTTTTCTGTCAGGAACTTTGAGTCTTTGAACGGTTTTTTGCAGTGGGTGCAAACAAAGTGATCTTTATGCCACGTTTTCCCCATGGCTGTTACCACTGTGTCTTGGATGGGCGAGTTGCACTGTGCACACTGAGGTAGGTTCGGTGTTTGAAACAGGGCCTTCCAGTCTTTTTCACAGTACGGCTTTCCGTCTTCTTGTATGTACTTGGCATCTTTCAGGGGCTGTTTACAGTGAGCACACAAAAAATGCTCCTTATGCCAACTCTTGCCCAATGCAACTACCACTGCCTCGTTGATAGGTTTGTTGCAATGGGCACATATGTGTTTTGAAGACATTTTGACTGCGGCAACTAACTGGGTTTTCCAAATTTATAATACTTGAAATTTGTCTTGCACTAACTTGAATTCTGGTTTCCTGATTATTTCTGATTGGTTACCATGACAATGTTTTTACAAAAAATGGCAATAAACTTTCCTATTTCATAACACAGAAAAAAATAAAATTAAGAATTTTTGTTCATGAATTTACATTAGGTTATGTACTTTACATTGCAGTGCCTGATAATAACAATGGTCATACACCATCTTTGTGTTAATAGCATGGATAGAGTTCATTACATTAAACAAAAAAGTTTAGTTATTCTCCAAAATATAAAGTACATTTATTCATAAAGTTTAAGATTCATTGGAGTAAAAAATGTTTCTTTAGTTCTAATAGTTTACCATACACAAATTAAAATAGAAAAGTCTACTTCATATTAGTATCAAACATCAAAAGTTTTAAGACTAAACCACACACTTAATTTTAAACCCCTCTTAAAAATAAATTTAAAAGGCTTGGTGATAAAGAACCAGTTACTTTTAAAAGCTCAATAAGGCTACTGTCGTACTGAAAATAATTTTTAATCGGTTTCAGAACAAAACGCTGACCAACAAAGTAGTGGGCAGTTTAATTTTCCATTTATTACAGAATGAGCCTACATATTATTTATTTTCCACAAATTGTTCATGATCCAAATACTTTATATGCCCTACTTTTTTACTTTATACTTTTAATTGAAATGGCAACCATACAAAGGTAGGTAGGTATTTTAAGTATGAATGGAGTTGAGTGGTGCGATCTTGTAGTCTTGTCATTGACTAAGGCCGACATGTTCTTTGGATACAGCTGTTAATTAATAGCGCATAAAGCCAATGGCAACTAAGGGACCTACAGTTTATAGTGGAATACGAACCACATTTTTGCCTTATAATTTTACGAATTGGTCTAATTATCAGGATAGTACTGCGGATAGTCGTAGTAATCACTAGTGTGACGTTAATCCACACCATGGAGTATCGCATCCACAGATCATGACTAAATATCCACAATTAGTGACCTTCAAGTAGCTGGATATCAGGACGACGCCACGGTCCCAGTCAGAAATAATCATTTCAGAACGGGCTTTGATATCGTATCTCCGTACAAGCTAGTCATTCTACTTATGCCTTTCGAACATAAAAAATTAATATTTTTTATGTTTAAATTAAATCAATGAATTAAAACTCCTTTATGAATTAACTCTCTGGCAGTCGGTCGTCAGTTTTTAGCCGTGCACGTGCCTTAATGTTTTCGTGTCGTGTCCGTGTTATGTGTTGTATGTACTATTTATTAAACTTTGACGCAATGAAAATGAAGAAACCACGTATAAAATGTAAATATGTAAATAGATCAGATTAGTGTATGATGACTACGCACCCGACGATGGAGTTATCTCCGAAACGGCCGTAGTGCTCAATTAACAGGATTGCAAAGACTGTAAGTAACCTTTATAATTAACTCTCCTAAATCTTTTTCTAATTGATTTAAAAAGTTTGCACTTATATGGGCCTACTTTAGTGGGGAGGCAAATGTAGTAAAATATGTCAAATTCCAAAGTTGGCTCACCCCGAAAGGTAACCGGTGAACACTATGCTAGATGATATTGTATAGTAGTACAGATGATATTTTGACCGGTGTTCACTCTGTATGAGTGGGACTCTCTTATCTGGACGCCATTTTCCAAAATGGCAGATGTCAACGTTTGATCTTTGAATAACTCAAGCAAAAATGATCCGATTTTGATGAAATTTGGTATAAACGTTTAAACTTACATTTATTCGAATGAGTTCGAGAACCAGCATGATTGGACCATGGGAGCGGGGGTTTATGGGGGGTTTTATGGGGTAAAAATTGGATTTTCTTATTTTTTGCCCCCAAAGCACAACATTTTCCAATTTCTCTCTAAACCATTTTAAAGAACTTAAAAAAAGAAATAATTTAGTATATTAACGTTTTTTGTACCCTTATTGGTTACGGAGAAAATTAAAAAAAAGTGTTATTTAAAATTCCCATGTTATTTTTATGAAGGATATTGTCAACTCTTGTAGTTTGCTTGTTTATGGATATATTTTGATCAAACTTGGTAAACTTATTTATTTATACTAAACTATTAATATTAATATTCTACTAACATTCACACTTTATTAGCCTCCCTGTGGCAGCAAACCTAGGTACTCGTTAAACCTTATTTTATTTAAATTGAATTAATTGATATACAAATCAGGCAAATGGAAATTTACTTAGTCTGCAGGTTCGCTGTGACGGGGGTGTTTTATTCTTGACATTTCTTCCTAACCCTAGTGGTTCAGGAGATATAAGTATTTAAAGTTGGGGTTTCCTCCATGATAAATACATTGATCCGTTTTAACTGTCACCCTAATGCATTTTCTGTGCTATTCCGTTGCATTTCTTAAGAAGTGCAAAAACCTTGGAATTGGCATAATAACAAAGCTAGATTATCAGGCACATCTCAGATTCGCACGATGCGTTAAAATATTAAAATTATTGTTTTATTTAAGTGTTTTTCTCCATGAATTGTATTTTGGCGGCCATTTTGTGGGATCAAATCAAATTTTAATTTGCAGATTTAGTTTCCCCACCCTTTTAAACATTAAAAACGATATACTACACACTATATCTAGCAAAAAAAATGTTTTTAACTATTTTTCTCTGGGAGCGATTATTATTTTAATTTAAATACCATAATATCAGGTACTTAACCAAGTCGGATTTTGGTAGACTTTTTTGTTGTTGTGTGGAGGTATAAAAATAAAAGTAATGAAATCCGTCGAAAAACCTTTTGAAACAATTTTGTTGGACCTTCACTATATATATCTCTTTAATGGCCGGACTATTACAACTCCACAGACTTTTCAGGCCGTAGTTTATGTTTATCAATATTGCTCTTATTGCAAAAACTGGCATAGCAACTTGTTTTATGCAATTTCGGATCTTTTAGCTCTAGTATTTCTATATCTGGCTTGAGACGCTTCAATACATCCAAATTATTTACATCACTGTAAGACAAACGTTTATAGTAGCATTCCAACTCGATTGATTCCATCTTTGCCAACATTTGTGAGATTTTCATTAAATACAACAACTTGGTAAAATATGCATAAATCCCAGTTTGTTAGCTCCGAAACTTTACGCTTCACTGGCAATCTGGCAACAGGTATCAATGTCTGATCCATTTAAGAGATGTTTCATGTAATATTTGTTTTGTATAATTATGTATATTGAAATACCACCACTGAAATAATACACTAAACTGAAATACACAAAACTGAAATACACTAACTGAACAATCAAACTGAATCATTTTTATCACATAATTAAACAGATACAAAAATGAAACAATCATCTTCAATAATCATATGTCAGCGGTCAACAGCTGTTAAACATTACCAACTGAAACCCTGTGCCAAGTTGATTTTGCTTACTGATTCTCTTAAAATCAGCTGTCTCAATCTTCAATAATTATACACCAAATAAAAACTTTACTACGATACTTTTAATATTTTAACCCATCGTGCGAATCTGAGATGTGCCTGATAATCTAGCTTTGTTATTATATGCCAATTCAAAAGTTTTTGCACTCTTAAGAAATGCAACGGAATAGCACAGGAAATACATTAGAGTGACAGTTAAAACGGATCAATGTATTTATCATGGAGGAAACCCCAACTTTAAATACTTATATCTCCTGAACCACTAGGGTTAGGAAGAAATGTCAAGAATAAAACACCCCCGTCACAGCGAACCTGCAGACTAAGTAAATTTCCATTTGCCTGATTTGTATATCAATTAATTCAATTTAAATAAAATAAGGTTTAACGAGTACCTAGGTTTGCTGCCACAGGGAGGCTAATAAAGTGTGAATGTTAGTAGAATATTAATATTAATAGTTTAGTATAAATAAATAAGTTTACCAAGTTTGATCAAAATATATCCATAAACAAGCAAACTACAAGAGTTGACAATATCCTTCATAAAAATAACATGGGAATTTTAAATAACACTTTTTTTTAATTTTCTCCGTAACCAATAAGGGTACAAAAAACGTTAATATACTAAATTATTTCTTTTTTTAAGTTCTTTAAAATGGTTTAGAGAGAAATTGGAAAATGTTGTGCTTTGGGGGCAAAAAATAAGAAAATCCAATTTTTACACCATAAAACCCCCCATAAACCCCCTCTCCCGTGGTCCGATCATGCTGGTTCTCGAACTCATTCGAATAAATGTAAGTTTAAACGTTTATACCAAATTTCATCAAAGTCGGATCATTTTTGCTCGAGTAATTCAAAGATCAAACGTTGACATCCGCCATTTTGGAAAATGGCGTCCAGATAAGAGAGTCCCACTCATACAGAGTGAACACCGGTCAAAATATCATCTGTACTACTATACAATATCATCTAGCATAGTGTTCACCGGTTACCTTTCAGGGTGAGCCAACTTTGGAATTTTGGCCATTCGCCTCCCCACTACTTAAGAAATTGTTAAATGTGATAAAATGATGTTTTAAATTGTCTAAATGTTTTAAAACTTTCATATTTTATCAAACTTAATATCCAAGAAAGTAAGGTACTTCGTCTATTGATAGAGCAAATGTTTTCTACAAATGCAAAGGGTTATATGATTGAAGAGCAAATAACTACTAATAATTTATATTTACAAACTCTAACTATACAAAGATCTACTTGGCGTACGGCTGGTCATCGTCTTCAAACACGTGGTATTTCTTGTAGACAGGTTTGGCCGTAAAGTCCTTTTTACCCTCTTGCCATCCTCGAGGCGGAGCTTTTTCATAGTCAAATGCCGACTCTACCTCTCCAAACTGTTTTTGAGATTCCTTCATGTCGTCTCTGAAAAATATCAATGTTCCATTGATAAGTTCATTTTTAAACGTAATATGGTGATCACGTTAACAGGATCCCTGGTGTAAAATAGCTTTACTTAACCCTGTGAGTGCTATGCAACGATATATCATTGTTCACTAAAACCTCTAAGGGATATAGAGAGGAAGGTAATTTTAACAAAAAGTAGCAAAATGACCAT